CGGATTTGAGAATGGTATCAATTTTATGGCATGTTTACTAATATGTAATTGGATTAGGGGGAATTCAATTGAGGATGAATTGAATTGAGGGGGAATTCAATTGAGGGGGAATTCAATTGAGGAGAATTAGATTCTGAATTCCTATTGAAGTTGTTTACTAAATCATATGGAATTAGGGTAAAAGAGGTATTAATTACTCAAATGTCCTCGTTGTTAGGTTAAAGTATATGTCAAATTTGAAAATTTGAATATTGTGTGAGGATATAATGGGTAAAAAAGATGAATTTCTAATGAGTTCGTTCTCCATGAATTAGAATACCACCTCCTACTCAAGAATTGAATTCCTCCAAAATTGGGCCCCACTTACTTTTCAATTTCTGGATGTAAAGTAAACGCAGGAATCCTCCATATGCGGAATTCAATTCCTAATAAGAATTCCAATGCCAGATAAGAATTCTAATTTCTGATTAATAAACACACCATTAAGGTATTTTATTTTTTGTCATTTTGGGCTTGTTTAGTTGTTCTCTGTTATGGGAGAAAACCTTCCTTATATACCACCGCGACATTGTCCCATTATTTCTATACGTCTTCATGTCAATTCAAAGCATGAGCGATGAAGAAAGACGATAACAATGCGACGGAAATATATAAATATTTTTTCTCTGAGTTTGGTCTTTTTATGAGGGCTCCTTATCTTTTGTTGAGTTGGTTAACCCGAACCATTCATTTACTAGGGTCCAAATTTATGTAATATGGAAAGAGATGCAAATGGTCTTGTTAATAAATATGGACGGCATGCGTATCAAAGTTTGCTTTCTTAAAATAAAAGAAAATAACAAACATCACTTAAATTGTCTTTTCTGTCCTGTTGATGAAAACTATAACAAATTAACAATGTTACATTTTAATTTTTGGTCAATTCTTATGCGTCATGGCTGAGGCCGCATATATATATTTTGATAAATACCACACAGGGTGTCCTCATAATCGAAAGATAGGATTAATTTCCATTCGAAGTTTGGCTTGTTTTTGGTCACAAAGTGCTTTTAATAGATTTCGAATCTCTGTTATTAAGATATTAGGTAACTCGCCAGCTCGAAGTGACAATATGCCAACCGCATCACATCTTATGGTTAATTCTTAGGGAGATTCACTATAATACCCAATATAGGAGCCCAAATTATATATAAAAAAAACACTATATGAAATGGACTTTAGAAACACACCTAAAGTCCATTTACAACATAACAAAAAGACTTTTAACTTCTTTTAAATTACAAAACTAACATTGATTTCTTAAAACAAACTCAACCCCAAAATCTCATAAAAAAAGCCCAAAACACTCAATAGGGCATCAAAATAATTTAATAATCAAAATTAAATTCAATAGAATTAACTGTCATTTTTTAGGTATTTTTTGGATTTATTTATAGAAATTAAATAGTGTAGGATTTATTTATAGTTTTAATACTAAAAATAGGTATATGACTAAATATCTCTAATTCTTATGCGTCATGGCTGAGTCCACATATTTTGGTGTGAAAGTGAAAAATGGTAAAAGGTCCCAAGTTCTATCGACCACAGACTACACGACACGACGTACATTTCACAAATCGTCATCTCTTTCGTAAGCTGTCGTCCTTGACACAGCAAAAGGACACGCATTAATTCAACACCAACATATTTCCAGTCACTCTCTTCAGAGTTTATTATTTTTTCTCCTTTTCTTGCTGAATAATCTGTCTACAGTTTGAACGGGTGCACACTCGCCCATCACGCATAAATAATGCATATAAAATTAATGATTTATATCCAACACACCCTGAAAGTCTCCAACTTTATCATCAAACGCAGACCAGACTCTTGCTGTGGCTCTCAGACACTACTTCCATTTTGGTACGCTCTCTTCAGTCTTTCCTCTGTATGACTCTGATTTTGATAATTTGATTGGACTATTTGTTGATTTCTGCATAACCCATTTGCCAAATTCACCTGTCAATCCATAACTGATTCAAGAAATGCTAAAATTCCATAACCCATATCCATAATTCTAATAAAATTATAAAACAGCACCAAAGAAACCAATTCTGTACCTCACAAGTTCATGTTTGATGTTTCTTTATGATACAGAGTGCAAAACTTGAGCTTGTGTTAGAGTACCTTTTTTGTTTGACTAGAGGTTATCTTGATATTGCAGAGAGAAAAAAAAATGGAACGTTGTTTTCAAGGTTGGGTGGTTTTGTTAGCTATGCTAGTATTGGCAATAAGTATGCCATGTTCACATGCTATTCGGTTAACCAAAACTAAGACCAGGTCTGGCGTTTATGTTTCTCCTAAGTTTGTGTTGGCGCCAGGATCAGTTGCAGACAAATATTACTATGATATCCCCTTTCCAAAAGGTCATATTGGCATCAAGAGTTTCAATGCTGAAGTAATTGATGAAGAGGGGAATCCCATCCCCCTTCATGAAACTTATCTCCATCATTGGGTTGTTGGTAGATATTATGCCCGGACAGGTTTTGTGGAGCCAGAGCAGACTGGTTTTCAGGAGCTTAACAAATCAGATTTTACTTTCGTGAGAAACACTGGAATTTGCCAGAATAATGTTCTTGGACAGTATTTTGGACTTGGGTCGGAAACACGAAACACATCCACTCATGTTCCAGATCCCTATGGAATAGAAGTTGGGAATCCTGCAGAGGTTCCTGCTGGGTATGAGGAGAGATGGATGCTCAATGTGCACGCCATTGATACACGGGGTGCGGAAAATGGTTTGGGGTGCACTGAATGCAGGTGTGATCTGTATAATGTCTCGACGGATTCACGTGGTCAGCCTTTGAGGCCAGGTTACAAAGGAGGTTTATATTGTTGTTATGATGGTGTACAGTGCAGAGTAAAACAGGGCTTTAATGGTGCCAAGAGAAGCCTATACTTGAGATATACTGTGAAGTGGGTTGATTGGTCTGATGCAGTTGTGCCTGTCAAGATTTATATCTTTGATGTCACTGATAGGATGAATCATTCAGCAGGACCTTCTATTGTACATGATTGCAGGGTACGTTTTACGATTTACCCCACCCTATGATATGTTATAGTATTCTCTCTAATGATGATAATGTATCAATATTCTGGTGTTTGCAGTTTTTATGAATTTAGTTCCTTTTGTGATTGAGTCTATATCTTTCTTCGGTGCAGGTCGAATATAATGTTGAAGAGTCTTGCAGTGCCACTAGTACAGCTAGTGATAGGTGCTTAGACAACCAATGGGCAATGGCTACTATGCCAACTGGTGGTTATGTCGTCTATGGTGTAGCCCATCAGCACACAGGGGGGCTTGGTTCAACTCTATATGGAGAGGTGTTTTTTTTCTTCCACTCAAAATAATTTGGTTTCTGCTAGGCCTTGCAATATTGTCTTGCAGCATTGGTAGAACTCGAAATTCTTAGTTAATCGTCTCTACTTACTGGCATATGGCCTTACCATATTCCTGTATGAACTGAGGCTGCATTCATTACCAAGTAAAGTTTTTGCAACCAGACTGCAACAATTCACATCTTCCCTGCTGGCCATTTGCTAGTTTTCTTTAAGCACTGCATCATGATCTCTTCCTGCACTATATTTCTAGTCAAGATTTTTCATTGTATGCCAGGCTAAATTGGACTGTTCCTTGTCTCGCTTTCATGTTTGCCTTCATGCATGTGTGAAAAGCATGTCTGATATTTCTATACGGCTATATAATATTGCACTACAAGGCATTTGAACTTTTGGTAGTCTGTTGTGTTAAATCAATCTGCTTTTTTGTGGTGAATTTTTTTCTAGGATGGAAGGATTCTATGTTCTTCAATACCAATTTATGGAAAGGGAAAGGAAGCTGGAAATGAAGCCGGTTATATTGTAGGAATGTCCACTTGTTATCCTCAACCAGGCTCTGTCAAAATAAATGATGGGGAGACTCTGATTGTGTTATCTAACTACAGCAGCACACAGACTCACACAGGAGTTATGGGTCTCTTCTACATTTTGGTTGCAGACACCCTGCCAAAGTCCTCCTTGCTTAGCTTGGACGCTCCACTTTGAGTAATCTAAAGTTAAAAGTAAGGTTAGTTGATCCAAATAAGCGTTTAAGATTGCGTATCACCGAAACACCAAATTCGTTAGTCTACTTACATGGTTTTGTTCTTGCAGATTTTTCTGTGGTATTAGCTGAAGCTGCTGGTGTCCGCCATCAAGAGCAATGAGGAAGTATTTGGCAATGGCTATAGGTTAATTTTGGTGTCAACTTTTATGTACCAAAAAATGTAAAGCGTCTTGAATCTACATCTCACTCAGCACTGTGATATGTAGACATATGTATAACTTATGTTGCCTTTTGGTATATCAATAATTATTAGCTTCGTGTTCATGTGTTTGGTCAAATGTAATGAATTAAAGCTCAGATTCAGTCGGTTCAATATAGAGCCTCCTACCCCTCAGCCTCTCATTTTTGTCATTTTTGGGTAGATTTTATCAAAACCAAGAGCCCCTATTTTGGTAAGAACAAACAATATACTTTGAATACATACGTTAGTATTTTCATACTATTATAAATTACTACATTGAATACATGCGTTAGTATTTTCATAATTCCATGGAAATACCTCAAAATGTGACACAATAATATTCCAAAATTGGGAACTAAGAAATATTATAAATTCCAAAATTTCCCCAACCCTTTCCTTTCACATTGAAATCCATTTGAGTTTCAGAGTGTCTTTTTTTTACAATATTATTTTCTAAACTACTCTATAAAAAATGGAATTAAACTCAGTGCAAACATCTTTCAGACTCCACACTACATCTCTGACAAAAAAAGAAGACTCACAGTATATCTAAAAATACAAAAAATAAAGTTGGGATTCTTCTATGTGATATGTCAGCGGTGTTGAATTGAAAAATTATAGAAAAAAGAGACAGAAAGTAAGAAATCTCACCATCCTTATGGAAAAAGAAAACTGAAAAATCATAACAAATAAAGAAAATAAAACGTGGAGGAGTGAAAGGCGACCAGACACGAGGAAGAATATCCACGTCCATTACAGAGCGATCCTTCTCCGTCTCTCGTATATCTTTGGCTCTTCCCCACTTCACCTCCTCCTCCAATTTCCACTGCAGATAATATATTATGGGCACTGGGCAGTTATAATCTGTGTTACTACGCTCTTAATTACCATTAAATCCAATCCAACCCAACCACCCAACATTGAAGAAGATGAGGCCCCATCTCTCCCAACCCTCATTTCATCGTCTTGTTTCTATCTTCTGTGAACGGTGAGGACTGAATTGTTGCGAATTTATGATCCATACCCGAAAACCCATCAACCCATTAGCCCAAAACCAGCATCTCCTTTCTTCCCTGTGCCTGGTGATTGATTTGGTTCCCATTGAAGGTTGAAGAAGACGAAGAATTTGAAAAAAAGGAGAATTGGGTTCTTATGTCAGGGGCAAAGCCGGCCTCTGAGCATGTCGGCTTCCCCACCGGGGACGCAAACAAGCACAGTGCTGACGGCTGCTGCAACCCAGTGAAGAAAAGCGGACCCATTTCCATGGATCACGTTCTTCTGGCCTTGCGCGAGACCAAGGAGGAGAGAGAGATCAGACTTCGAAGCCTTTTCAATTTCTTCGATGCTACGAATCTAGGGTACTTGGACTATCCCCAGATCGAGGCCGGTTTATCGGCGCTTCAGATTCCGCCGGAGTACAAGTACGCCAAGGATCTTCTGAAGGTTTGCGATGCCAACAGAGATGGAAGGGTCGATTATCTCGAGTTCCGAAGGTATATGGATGACAAGGAGCTCGAGCTGTATCGAATTTTTCAGGCCATTGATGTTGAGCACAATGGCTGCATTCTGCCTGAAGAGCTTTGGGATGCTCTTGTCAAGGCTGGTATGCCCAACCAACCATACTTTCTCCTTCTAAATTACTCATAATCTCTAACTCTGTTATGCTAGTTTCTATGTTAATAATGAGGGTATATTCATTGGCCGGGACCCATGTAGACTGTAGAGCATTGATTTCCTAGGATCTTTTTCTGTCAAATGGTTAGAGGATATTGTTGCTGCTGCTGCTTTGAGGCATTATTTATAGTATTGCTATGGCTGTGGTATGAATTACACTAGGGAACATTTTTACCTTTGTGTTCTGCATTGAGCTTGATGGGAATGTATTCAATTTCTCGATGTGAAGTAAACGCAAGAATCCTCCATATGCGGAATTCAACTCCTAATAAGAATTCCAATGCCAGATAAGAATTCTAATTTCTGATTAATAAACATACCATTAAAGTATTTTATTTTTTGTCATTTTGGGCTTGTTTAGTTGTTCTCTGTTATGGGAGAAAACCTTCCTTATATACCACCGCGACATTGTCCCATTATTTCTATACGTCTTCATGTCAATTCAAAGCATGAGCGATGAAGAAAGACGATAACAATGCGACGGAAATATATAAATATTTTTTCTCTGAGTTTGGTCTTTTTATGAGGGCTCCTTATCTTTTGTTGAGTTGGTTAACCCGAACCATTCATTTACTAGGGTCCAAATTTATGTAATATGGAAAGAGATGCAAATGGTCTAGTTAATAAATATGGACGGCATGCGTATCAAAGTTTGCTTTCTTAAAATAAAAGAAAATAACAAACATCACTTAAATTGTCTTTTCTGTCTTGTTGATGAAAACTATAACAATGTTACATTTTAATTTTTGGTCAATTCTTATGCGTCATGGCTGAGGCCACATATTTTGGTGTGAAAGTGAAAAATGGTAAAAGGTCCCAAGTTCTATCGACCACAGACTACACGACACGACGTACATTTCACAAATCGTCATCTCTTTCGTAAGCTGTCGTCCTTGACACAGCAAAAGGACACGCATTAATTCAACACCAACATATTTCCAGTCACTCTCTTCAGAGTTTATTATTTTTTCTCCTTTTCTTGCTGAATAATCTGTCTACAGTTTGAACGGGTGCACACTCGCCCATCACGCATAAATAATGCATATAAAATTAATGATTTATATCCAACACACCCTGAAAGTCTCCAACTTTATCATCAAACGCAGACCAGACTCTTGCTGTGGCTCTCAGACACTACTTCCATTTTGGTACGCTCTCTTCAGTCTTTCCTCTGTATGACTCTGATTTTGATAATTTGATTGGACTATTTGTTGATTTCTGCATAACCCATTTGCCAAATTCACCTGTCAATCCATAACTGATTCAAGAAATGCTAAAATTCCATAACCCATATCCATAATTCTAATAAAATTATAAAACAGCACCAAAGAAACCAATTCTGTACCTCACAAGTTCATGTTTGATGTTTCTTTATGATACAGAGTGCAAAACTTGAGCTTGTGTTAGAGTACCTTTTTTGTTTGACTAGAGGTTATCTTGATATTGCAGAGAGAAAAAAAAATGGAACGTTGTTTTCAAGGTTGGGTGGTTTTGTTAGCTATGCTAGTATTGGCAATAAGTATGCCATGTTCACATGCTATTCGGTTAACCAAAACTAAGACCAGGTCTGGCGTTTATGTTTCTCCTAAGTTTGTGTTGGCGCCAGGATCAGTTGCAGACAAATATTACTATGATATCCCCTTTCCAAAAGGTCATATTGGCATCAAGAGTTTCAATGCTGAAGTAATTGATGAAGAGGGGAATCCCATCCCCCTTCATGAAACTTATCTCCATCATTGGGTTGTTGGTAGATATTATGCCCGGACAGGTTTTGTGGAGCCAGAGCAGACTGGTTTTCAGGAGCTTAACAAATCAGATTTTACTTTCGTGAGAAACACTGGAATTTGCCAGAATAATGTTCTTGGACAGTATTTTGGACTTGGGTCGGAAACACGAAACACATCCACTCATGTTCCAGATCCCTATGGAATAGAAGTTGGGAATCCTGCAGAGGTTCCTGCTGGGTATGAGGAGAGATGGATGCTCAATGTGCACGCCATTGATACACGGGGTGCGGAAAATGGTTTGGGGTGCACTGAATGCAGGTGTGATCTGTATAATGTCTCGACGGATTCACGTGGTCAGCCTTTGAGGCCAGGTTACAAAGGAGGTTTATATTGTTGTTATGATGGTGTACAGTGCAGAGTAAAACAGGGCTTTAATGGTGCCAAGAGAAGCCTATACTTGAGATATACTGTGAAGTGGGTTGATTGGTCTGATGCAGTTGTGCCTGTCAAGATTTATATCTTTGATGTCACTGATAGGATGAATCATTCAGCAGGACCTTCTATTGTACATGATTGCAGGGTACGTTTTACGATTTACCCCACCCTATGATATGTTATAGTATTCTCTCTAATGATGATAATGTATCAATATTCTGGTGTTTGCAGTTTTTATGAATTTAGTTCCTTTTGTGATTGAGTCTATATCTTTCTTCGGTGCAGGTCGAATATAATGTTGAAGAGTCTTGCAGTGCCACTAGTACAGCTAGTGATAGGTGCTTAGACAACCAATGGGCAATGGCTACTATGCCAACTGGTGGTTATGTCGTCTATGGTGTAGCCCATCAGCACACAGGGGGGCTTGGTTCAACTCTATATGGAGAGGTGTTTTTTTTCTTCCACTCAAAATAATTTGGTTTCTGCTAGGCCTTGCAATATTGTCTTGCAGCATTGGTAGAACTCGAAATTCTTAGTTAATCGTCTCTACTTACTGGCATATGGCCTTACCATATTCCTGTATGAACTGAGGCTGCATTCATTACCAAGTAAAGTTTTTGCAACCAGACTGCAACAATTCACATCTTCCCTGCTGGCCATTTGCTAGTTTTCTTTAAGCACTGCATCATGATCTCTTCCTGCACTATATTTCTAGTCAAGATTTTTCATTGTATGCCAGGCTAAATTGGACTGTTCCTTGTCTCGCTTTCATGTTTGCCTTCATGCATGTGTGAAAAGCATGTCTGATATTTCTATACGGCTATATAATATTGTACTACAAGGCTTTTGAACTTTCGGTAATCTGTTGTGTTAAATCAATCTGCTTTTTTTGTGGTGAATTTTTTTCTAGGATGGAAGGATTCTATGTTCTTCAATACCAATTTATGGAAAGGGAAAGGAAGCTGGAAATGAAGCCGGTTATATTGTAGGAATGTCCACTTGTTATCCTCAACCAGGCTCTGTAAAAATATATGATGGGGAGACTCTGATTGTGTTATCTAACTACAGCAGCACACAGACTCACACAGGAGTTATGGGTCTCTTCTACATTTTGGTTGCAGACACCCTGCCAAAGTCCTCCTTGCTTAGCTTGGACGCTCCACTTTGAGTAATCTAAAGTTAAAAGTAAGGTTAGTTGATCCAAATAAGCGTTTAAGATTGCGTATCACCGAAACACCAAATTCGTTAGTCTACTTACATGGTTTTGTTCTTGCAGATTTTGCAGTGGTATTAGCTGAAGCTGCTGGTGTCCGCCATCAAGAGCAATGAGGAAGTATTTGGCAATGGCTATAGGTTAATTTTGGTGTCAACTTTTATGTACCAAAAAATGTAAAGCGTCTTGAATCTACATCTCACTCAGCACTGTGATATGTAGACATATGTATAACTTATGTTGCCTTTTGGTATATCAATAATTATTAGCTTCGTGTTCATGTGTTTGGTCAAATGTAATGAATTAAAGCTCAGATTCAGTCGGTTCAATATAGAGCCTCCTACCCCTCAGCCTCTCATTTTTGTCATTTTTGGGTAGATTTTATCAAAACCAAGAGCCCCTATTTTGGTAAGAACAAACAATATACTTTGAATACATACGTTAGTATTTTCATACTATTACAAATTACTACATTGAATACATGCGTTAGTATTTTCATAATTCCATGGAAATACCTCAAAATGTGACACAATAATATTCCAAAATTGGGAACTAAGAAATATTATAAATTCCAAAATTTCCCCAACCCTTTCCTTTCACATTGAAATCCATTTGAGTTTCAGAGTGTCTTTTTTTTACAATATTATTTTCTAAACTACTCTATAAAAAATGGAATTAAACTCAGTGCAAACATCTTTCAGACTCCACACTACATCTCTGACAAAAATACAATATGATTTTCTAAACTACTCTATAAAAAATGGAATTAAACTCAGTGCAAACATCTTTCAGACTCCACACTACATCTCTGACAAAAAAAGAAGACTCACAGTATATCTAAAAATACAAAAAATAAAGTTGGGATTCTTCTATGTGATATGTCAGCGGTGTTGAATTGAAAAATTATAGAAAAAAGAGACAGAAAGTAAGAAATCTCACCATCCTTATGGAAAAAGAAAACTGAAAAATCATAACAAATAAAGAAAATAAAACGTGGAGGAGTGAAAGGCGACCAGACACGAGGAAGAATATCCACGTCCATTACAGAGCGATCCTTCTCCGTCTCTCGTATATCTTTGGCTCTTCCCCACTTCACCTCCTCCTCCAATTTCCACTGCAGATAATATATTATGGGCACTGGGCAGTTATAATCTGTGTTACTACGCTCTTAATTACCATTAAATCCAATCCAACCCAACCACCCAACATTGAAGAAGATGAGGCCCCATCTCTCCCAACCCTCATTTCATCGTCTTGTTTCTATCTTCTGTGAACGGTGAGGACTGAATTGTTGCGAATTTATGATCCATACCCGAAAACCCATCAACCCATTAGCCCAAAACCAGCATCTCCTTTCTTCCCTGTGCCTGGTGATTGATTTGGTTCCCATTGAAGGTTGAAGAAGACGAAGAATTTGAAAAAAAGGAGAATTGGGTTCTTATGTCAGGGGCAAAGCCGGCCTCTGAGCATGTCGGCTTCCCCACCGGGGACGCAAACAAGCACAGTGCTGACGGCTGCTGCAACCCAGTGAAGAAAAGCGGACCCATTTCCATGGATCACGTTCTTCTGGCCTTGCGCGAGACCAAGGAGGAGAGAGAGATCAGACTTCGAAGCCTTTTCAATTTCTTCGATGCTACGAATCTAGGGTACTTGGACTATCCCCAGATCGAGGCCGGTTTATCGGCGCTTCAGATTCCGCCGGAGTACAAGTACGCCAAGGATCTTCTGAAGGTTTGCGATGCCAACAGAGATGGAAGGGTCGATTATCTCGAGTTCCGAAGGTATATGGATGACAAGGAGCTCGAGCTGTATCGAATTTTTCAGGCCATTGATGTTGAGCACAATGGCTGCATTCTGCCTGAAGAGCTTTGGGATGCTCTTGTCAAGGCTGGTATGCCCAACCAACCATACTTTCTCCTTCTAAATTACTCATAATCTCTAACTCTGTTATGCTAGTTTCTATGTTAATAATGAGGGTATATTCATTGGCCGGGACCCATGTAGACTGTAGAGCATTGATTTCCTAGGATCTTTTTCTGTCAAATGGTTAGAGGATATTGTTGCTGCTGCTGCTTTGAGGCATTATTTATAGTATTGCTATGGCTGTGGTATGAATTACACTAGGGAACATTTTTACCTTTGTGTTCTGCATTGAGCTTGATGGGAATGTATAGATGTGAGCGTAATATAAATTTGCACATATGTCTAAGAGAATGAGAAAGTGGGATCATTCCCTTTTCATAGCCTTCAATTGGGCAGCTTTTTCATTTTCCATCTTATAAGCCCTGGCAGTTTTTGTTTTGTAGGGATTGAAATGGATGACGAGGAACTCGCCCGTTTTGTTGAGCATGTTGATAAGGATAACAATGGAATTATAACTTTTGAAGAATGGAGAGATTTTCTTCTACTTTATCCACATGAAGCAACGATTGAGAACATATATCATCACTGGGAAAGGGTATGCCTTGTGGATATAGGAGAGCAGGCTGTCATTCCAGAAGGAATTAGTAGGCATGTTCATAGGAGCAGATACTTTATTGCAGGGGCTATAGCAGGTGCCGCTTCTCGTACTGCTACTGCTCCTCTTGATCGCTTGAAGGTGGTTTTGCAAGTTCAGACAGTACGTGCTTCTGTAGTTCCCGCTATAAAGAAGATATTGAAGGAAGATGGTATCCTAGGGTTTTTCCGAGGTAACGGAATAAATGTTGTGAAGGTAGCACCTGAAAGTGCTATCAAGTTCTATACTTATGAAATGTTAAAAAAGGTCATTGGAGATAGTATGGGGGCAGACTCAGGAGATATTGGTACTTCGGGTAGACTTTTGGCTGGTGGTATAGCAGGTGCAGTGGCACAAACTTCTATCTATCCGTTGGATCTTGTGAAAACTCGATTACAGACTTGCACTTCAGAAGCTGGAAAGAGTCCTCAGTTGAAGACATTAACTAAGGAAATATGGATTCATGAGGGACCCCGGGCCTTCTATAAAGGTCTGATTCCGTCTCTTCTTGGGATTATCCCCTATGCTGGCATCGACCTCGCGGCCTATGAGACCTTAAAAGATATGTCAAGGACATATATTCTTCAAGATAGTGGTACAATTCTCTGGTTTTCCATTTTTTGTTTTAAATTTTCACTCTCCTTTCTTTATCTTTTTCCTCTATGGAATATTTTTTGTACCTTTAGTTTGTAGAATTGCATTTTAAAATCTTCACTTTGGTGCAGAACCTGGTCCTCTAATCCAGCTGGGCTGTGGGACAATATCTGGAGCTCTAGGAGCAACATGTGTTTATCCATTGCAGGTTATCCGAACCAGGTACAATTTCATGGCTGAAGCCTACTACTGTGGTTATTTATTCTTTTTAGTGAGGGGTGCCTATCCAAATTACTTGATTTTTTCACTTCATCTTAAGTTTTGCTATTTCCTTTTGCGGTTGTGTTTAATATATTATTCTTTCCAGATTGCAAGCTCAACGTTCTAATACAGCTGCTGCTTATAAAGGAATGTCTGATGTATTCTGGAGAACCCTTCAGAATGAAGGCTATACAGGTTTCTACAAGGGATTGTTTCCAAATCTTCTCAAAGTTGTGCCAGCCGCAAGCATTACATATATGGTATATGAAGCCATGAAAAAAAAACTAGATCTGTAGTGAGTTGGTAACTACATTGATCTTGTAGTTAGAAATTGTAACGGAGTTGATGATGAAGAAAAAGAAAATGATATTACTAGTTAAGTAGGCAATATGATTGTTATATGACAGATGGTTTCCCCCTTCAGGATATGGGGCAAAGGATTTTCAATTTTGTAGTCAGAAAGTCTTTTCCGGGATTTATGGAAACTTACTATTGAGAAACCAGGTTACAGCCCATTTTGATTTTCATAGCAAAGGTGGTAGGTATTATCTTGTTCCTTTTTCCTCCGTGTTTGTTGACTATATCATTAATGAATACTGAAAATTTATAAGTTTCTGTTCTTTCTCCTTTGTTATATTGTTGCTTTGCCATCAGGATCTTTTTGCACGATTTACAGCGAGATTTGAGTGGAACATGAGGCTATTTTTCCATACTAATCCATATGTGGTGAGAATTAACTGAGTTTTCATATGTGATCAGTAGATATTGCAGCTGTAATATCTAGTTTGCCTCGTACCGTACCTCTGCATGATGCAGTTACAGGATAAGCATATGACTGTACACGGTATGCCCCAAGGCGCTGTGCTTGCTTGCGTTCATAATGCATGTAGTATCTATGTTTCATTTAGCCACCACTAGTGATACTTGCCTTGAAAGCAGATTCTTATCATGTTTAGGTAATTGATAAGATTTGGAATTTGTGATCCCAAGTCGTATATAAAAGGATTTGATATTGATGCTGAAAGATCAGCCTTGATTTTATTTAGGTTGATACTTCTGTGTGCGAAAATGTTTTTAAAAGGTATCTTAGATGATTTGAAATGTGTTCATGAGTGTCTACAATTCTTTTGATTAGCTGTTTACCTGTGTTGCACAGTAAATTTGTGATGTGTAGTGCAAAAAGAAACTCAGAGGAACAGATGAAAGATAAAGAAGAAAACAATGCAAAACCAACAAACTGGAGTTTATTCAATTCTTTCCAAATTGATTTCTCTGAACTGAGATACAGCAATTGGCCTTGAAGAGCAGCCATCAATTGGCACATGAGACCCAGAAAAGCCAGAAACAAATCTAACCCAATTGCACAATTGCTTCTTTTAGTTACTGGAAAGAATTTGAGTAATCAAAATAGTTAACAGAGAGCAGAAGTGAGGAAGCTGCACTAACATAACCTACGATTACATAAAAGAGTTTGACATGTGAAATAACAAATCCGGAAGAAAGGCTTGACCTTCCCTTTGCCTCAATGACTTGCCTTTGACCCCTTCGCATCCCACTAAGGGAGGAAGAGGCTGATATTGTTGACCAAACGTGTAGAAATTCTACTCAAATTCATCATCTTCTTCCTCTTTTTCCTCCACATTTTGCGTGTCTGTGCTAGAGAGAGCTTGTTAGGTTAAAATGGCAGTGAAGTGTTTTTAGCTGTTGCTTCTAGTTTATGTATATATAGAGGTATAAACTTCCCAACCAGGTGACTTCGGCGGTGGCATCCTGAATATTTAAATTATAATGGAGAAGGAGGAAAAGGAAAAGAAGACAAAAGCAAACAGATCAGCAGGGAGAATCATATGTGGAATGTACATTTTCTAATGGCCCCCCCTAAGCATTATTCTCTTATTGGGTAAGTGCTTATCTTTTGCTAAGAATATTATCATTCATCATCTGCTTTACATCAATCAGAACATTAGTCTTTCAACACTCAAGACGGGAGGCAGACAGAGAGAGACTCATTCCATGCCGGGAAATGCTGAGGAAAATGAATATTAAGACCAATAGGTGGAAGTATTTTGCTAATATCAGTCATTCACACGCAAATACGTGGTTTTTGACTATGAATTAAATGTGAATCTTACAGTGATCTACACCCACATACGTGTAGACGACTGATCGTAACATAACTTTTGAGTGGAAATATGAGATAATATGTGGAGGAATCCTTCTCGAAAGAAGAGATTTGAATAAAACAACTAATGGGAAAAAGTAGTTAAAGCAGTTACTAGCAGCAAAAATAGAGGAGAATTTGGAAGTAGATTTGCACCGTCCATATTCTTGCCCCAATACTAATGCTTGTGAGAATCTATGTGTCCAAAGCCACTAATTCACTTAGTGGGAGACCCAAATGTTGGAAAAAACTCCATTTCACTAACTAAACAATAAACCTCATATAGATAAGCAATAGGGAACAACTAGACTTTGGATTTACTTTTTAGCCACTAGATCCTTCATAGATTTGTAATTGCTCCCCTCTACATTTGTGCTCTCTGCAATAATTGAGGGCATTACAACTATGTAAAGACACACCTTTTTTTTTGCTGGATTGTGTAAGCCTTGCCTTGTATGCAAATAGAAAGTTCACATAACATAATAGAAATTCATACGAAAATAACACATGAGTTCATGTTGTGCACCATTTTTCAACATTTGCTTTATTGAAAATCAGGGTTTTCTTCAACTTGAAGTCGGGTCATACTCGTATGTTTGTCTTATTATCGAGAATGAGATTATTGTAAGTCTAACAAAAAAACAATCGAAACATAAACTAATATGAAAAAATTATTATATAACATTGAAATATCCATTTATATTATACCACTTGACCATACTACAGAACATCAAAGAGCAATCCTATTTCTTCAATTTTTTTTTGTTTTCTTTCTTCAGTTTCCTTTCCCTCTTAAATAAATTCAAAAGAAAATGATTTGAACAATTTTTAATAACTTATTTGTTCTGAGCTAGATTGGACGACGAAGCCCAAGAGTGTGAGCTCTGTTTACAACATAAGTATTGTATAGTGAATTGTCTCCTATATTATCCTTTTTCTCTATTTAAGTAACAAGCAAGGTGGACGTGCCGGAGTGGTTATCGGGCATGACTAGAAATCATGTGGGCTTTGCCCGCGCAGGTTCGAATCCTGCCGTCCACGTTTTTGTGATCCAATTAATTTAATTAATTACACGTTTATTTTTATATCTCCGGCCAATTTTACCGCCAATCTTTTCTTTCTTTTTTCTTCATCAACCACTGAGAGTTGTAGCCTATGAGAGAACCAGAGCAAATCGAAGTGAATGAAATCCACCAATGCGAACAAAATCACCACCATAATCAAACAATGGAAAGGCCCCAAGTTAGTTCAAATTCTCCCTCCAAACCCTCTCCAGCTAAATGATCAAATTAAAATCACAGGGACCTTCGTTGTTACCGCCTTTCGTTTCTTTCTCTTTTCTTGATCAAATGAAAGCCACCAATGCGAACAACATCACCGCCGTAATCAAACGCTGCAAGACCCCAAACCAACTCTTCCAACTCCATGCTCTCACCATCACCAATCCCACACTCACCAAAACGACTTGTCGTGATATTATCACCGCCAGCATCCTCCACGCCTTCATCTCTCTGATCCCTTCTTCCTCTTCAACCACTTCACTCAGCTATGCCATCTCTCTCTTCAACCTCATCACAAACCCATCAACCTTTTGTTTCAATAACATTATTAGAGCCCACACCCTTCTTTCTTCCCCTCTCTCTGCTCTCGGCTTCTTTGTCCGTATGCGCCGGTTTTCTCTCCCCCCGGACTTCCACACCTTCCCTTTTGCTCTCAAGGCCTGTGCCCAACTTGGGTTTTCTTCGTTTTTCATCTCTCAGGCCCTTCACTCGCAGGCCCTCAAGTTCGGTTTCGCTTCCCATTTGTTTGTTTCTAACACCCTCATTCATGTCTACTCGATTTGTCGTCACCTGAACCGTGCGTGTAAGGTGTTTGATGAAAGTTCTCACCGGGATGTGGTCTCCTACAACGCCATGCTCGACGCCTTTGTTAAGGCCGGTGAGGTTTCTAGAGCGCGTCAACTGTTTGACGAAATGCCTGTGCGGGACTCCGTCTCGTGGGGTACCGTTTTAGTTGGGTATGCTCAGATGAATCAGTGCGAAGAAGCGATTCAACTGTTTGATCAGATGCTTGGTTTGCGAGTTATCCCTGATGATATCTGCTTGGTTTCTGCTCTTTCTGCTTGTGCGCAGCTGGGAGATTTGGAACGAGGTAAAAACATTCACGATTACATCAAACGGAACAGGGTTCGACTCAGTTCCTACTTCTTAACAGCGTTAGTGGACTTGTATGCCAAGTGTGGGTGCATTGAGACTGCCCTGGAGATCTTCGAGGCAAGCCCAGATAAGAATGTGTTCACATGGAACGCCATGCTTGTTGGGCTTGCAATGCATGGCCACGGCAAGCTGTCACTGAATTACTTCTGCAGAATGATAGAGGCCCGAGTTAAACCAGATGGGGTGAGCGTCTTAGGGGTTTTAGTGGGGTGTAGCCATGTGGGTTTTGTACATCAAGCCCAGAAGCTTTTCGACGACATGGAAACAGTTTATGGGGTCCCTCGAGAGCTCAAGCATTATGGATGCATGGCTGATCTGCTTGGGAGAGCAGGTTTGATCAAAGAAGCAATGGAGATGATAGACAAGATGCCAATGGGTGGTGATGTGTTTGTGTGGGGTGGGTTGCTAGGAGGGTGTAGGATACATGGTGATGTTGAGATGGCAAAGAAAGCAGCAGAACATGTAATGGAGTTGGACCCTGAAGATGGTGGAGTTTATTCAATCATGGCCAACGTTTATGCAAATGCAGGGAAATGGGATGATGTGGTGAAGATTAGAAAATCCATAAAAGATGCTAAAAGGGTGAAGAAGATCAGTGGTTGTAGTTTAATTAACTTGAATGGAAGCATCCACAAGTTTATTGCAGGTGATAGCTTGCATCCTCAATCAGAAGCAATATATTGGGTTTTGGATGGACTTTGGAAGCATCAATTCGAAGCATGCTAAGCAAGTTTTGATTTTGATTTTTGTTATCATACTTCTACAAATCTTACAGAGGAGAGAAGTTGAAATTGGGTATGTGGCTTTGATGTTTGCTACTCTGAAGTAATAAGTATTTTATTAAGCTTTTGTCCCTAGTATAGGATAAGAATGATGCTGACGTGCTGCTTCAGGAGGGTTCTACTGGCACTGTGCAGTGTTGGTTCTTGGACACGTGTCCCATTGGGTTCTGCACTGTGATACGTGGCTCCAGAACACTCTACTCTTTTTTCTTGATTAGGAGAACTCTCTATTCTTTTCAATATTCATCTTATAAGTAAGATCTAGCAGCTCTTGCTTCAAGTTAAGAATCGCTTTTATTTTCATCAAGTTTGTGTTTAGCGGAGACTTGCTACTCTTACTGTGGAAGCATCTATTGTCTGATTTCTATATTTCTCTGCGTAAGATCATGGCTTTTAGATCAAGGGTATGTGAGCTCATTTCCTCTTAAATTTCTCATGTAAATTTTTTAGTTCTTCTTGTAAATTTCTGGGTTTTTCTTTTACTTACCATGTACAGAAAATTGTGCAGAACCACTGGGAACAAATGGCGAATGGGTTAAGACAATATGCAACCTCAACCTCACCCAAGATGAAAGCCTACACCCCAAGTGCTGGTGTCACTGCACAAAGCCAGCAGGGCTACAAAAGGTTCTTGAGGGGTGACTTCGTGCCTGTCTATGTAGTTCTTGGGATGATAACAGTGTCACTCGGGTTGGGGCTCCACACCGCGATGCATCAGCTGAAGCACAACCCCCATGTCTACGTGAAGAAGCAGCGACGCGAGACGCTGCCGGAGGTGGTGGAGCCGGAGCATGTGGTGGAGGAGGCCGAGAAGTTCATCACGAACTCGTTTTTCAGGAAGGTGGCTCATGTTCAGGAGTATGACGACTACAATCACGCCGTTAAAGATCCTACCCGTAGAGATGCTTTTGCTTACAAACCCTCCAACCCGCGAGAGCGTACCGTGACTCTCAAGGACGTTGGAGCAGACCCTGTCCAACCCAAGGCTTCATCCTAGTTTCCTTTTTGGATTTTTTAGTCTCTGTTTTTCGTTTGCTGAATTTCTCTGTTTTTTTTTTCCTTGTTCACTGCTATGGCTTTCTAGTAACTCCCATTTGAGTTGTACTTTTTGGGGTTAGAGGAAGAGAGCCATTTCTACTACTACTGGTGATGGTTGTTTACTGTACTGTAACTTCACTCTGACATTGTATATATTCCAAAAGGCAATAGACTTGAAATTTTAAATTTAAATGCTTTTACTAACAGAAATAAAATGCTTCCTTAGATAAAGTTCTATCACATCACCACCTTGATAGATTAGGGTTTAGGGCACACGATTGATAATAACTAGCTAGAAGAGTTTAGAGGAGTGTATAGGGCACACGATTGTGATCGTCTTTCAACTTCGAATGCATGTCAATCAAAGTGTACTTAACCGAGAGGTAGGTATGCACCCACCTTTCATGGTCCAATGCACCTGAGTAACCGCAAGCAGATTAACACAAACCACCATTGTTGCGTCTCCTTCAACTCCATCGAATTGTCCCGAAACCGTTTTGATCGCATCCTTGTAAGAGCGTGACTGCGCGAACTTCCTCCATACACCCGCACTTCGCATATTCGCATATTGTTGGATATTGGTGGAGGAGGACTTCAGGTGTAAGAGTAACTTTTGATTGCTAGAACTTCAAGTGTAAGAGTGACTTTTGATTGCTAAATTGACGAGGACGACAACAAAAGAAGTGACATTTGCATTTGCAGCCATTTGTTATGCTTTTCATTTTTTCCCCCTAAGTATGATTTATGAGTTTGTAGATAAATTTGTTGTGGTATCATTGTTAACAAATGTATGACAACTTTGGAAAGTCCCAGGCCAAATGAAAAAGCAAAAAGGAATGAAAGAAGAAAATCTTTTGCTTCTTCTTCTTTGATTAGGGGTGGCCTCTTTTCTTATTGTTCACTTTTATGCGCTTTTCCAAGTCCAAAGAATTGAATTGGGGTTAACGTTACAATTTAGAACAAAAATTAATTCAAAAAATTTCAACCTTAGGTGCTAAGTTTGTTAATTTATGTAAAAGATGCCCACTATATGAAGAGTAAAGAAAAATGCCCCAAAATTTTTAGAATAAAGTCCAAAACGCATCAATTACACACATAAAAGTGCAACTATAACTCTTGGGCTAAAAGATTTTATAGGAGGCTCATTTTTTCGGGGGCCCTGTGCTATCGCTTAGCCCGCACACCCTGTGGCCGGGCCTCATTGATGATGACAAGAGTTTGGAACATTCTGAGGATGCTAATGTCTCTTTCATTCCAGGAATAGCTCATTTATTAAATGCTCGACTTGAAAAACTAATATAAATGCTTTTACTAACAGAAATAAAATGCTGCTTTTGACAAAGTTCTATCAGATGCTATTATTAAGGAGTACTTTGCCTTGTAAAAACTTTGCATATTGTCATCTATCAAGTAAGAATTGCTTGTTGCACTGCCTGAGAGTTGAACAAAATTTTAGCTCACATTGTTGCTGAAAATCCAAAATCCCTAAGCAAATATTTCTGATCGTATAACTTTATTAATTCCTCTTACAGTCTCATATATAGAATGAGTTTGACTATGTAAACAATCTGCAACAGTGAATTCATGAACAAGGCCATCTACTTCTATGAGAGAGCAGCCAGGCTGCTTCTGGATGCCCTGAAGAGGCATACCTTTCCTCAGCTTGTTCACATCATACCACCTTGATGTTGAAGCATATAAGTTGGATAATAAAACACGTGACTCAAACCTTCTTGGTTCCAAATTCTCAACATTTTTGGCAGCAAATTCTGCCAACTCTGTGTTCCCATAAGTCCTGCATGCAAAAAGCAGAGATCGCCATATGACCACATCAGGCTGAATGGGCATAGCTCTTATGAACTTCTCAGCCTCATTTAACAAATTAGCACGACCAAGAAGATCCACCATGCACCCATAGTGTTCAATGCGAGGAACGAGTTTATAAATTTCAGACATGGCTTTGAAATACCGAAAACCCTTTTCCACAAAACCGCCATGGCTACATGCAGACAGGACCCCGAGGAATGTGACCTCATTTCGCCTGACATTACTTGACGCTTCCATTTGTGAAAACATTTCCAATGCCCTAACAGAATCCCCATTCATAGCAAGACCTGTAATCATGGCAGTCCATGTAAACACATCTCTTGAGCTCATGCCATGAAAAATTTCAAGAGCCCTTTCAATGTCTCCACACTTGGAGTACATGTCAATCAAAGCATTCTTCACTGACATGTTCATGTCAATGCCGCTTCTTTCGCAGTACGTATGCACCCACCTTCCATGGTCCAATGCACCCGAATGCCCACATGCAGATATAACACAAGCAACCATTGCCGCATCTACTTCAACTCCTTCTAATTGCATCTCACGAAACAATTCTATCGCGTCCTTGAACGAGCCTGACTGCGTATAGCCTGCAATCATAGAAGTCCAAGACACCACATTTCTGTGTGGAACCCTGTCGAAAATCTTTCGAGCATCATCCATGCGCCCGCACTTCGCATACATGTCAATCAAAGACGAACCCAGGAAGACATCCAATGCAAACCCGCTTCCAAGCACCAACCCATGAATTTTCCTCCCCAAACCAAGAGAACCCAACCTCGCAGACGCAGTGAGAGCACTGACCAAAGTCACCTTATCGGGCCTCATAGACCCATCACTGAGCATTTCGTCAAACACCTGGAGGGCATCCCAGTTGCGATGGCTCTGTAAATACCCAGAAATAACGCTATTCCAAGACACCACGTCGCGAACCAGACCCGGTACCAAGTCGAAGACCTTACGAGCAGAGTCAAGTAGGCCACACGCAGAATACATAGAGACGAGGCCATTTTGAACGAAAACGTCGTCATGCAGTCCGAGAATGAGTGTCAAAGCGTGAAGCTCTTGGCCTTTGTGGGGAAGCTGGAGACGACTGCACGCTTTGAAGAGGAAAGGGAAGGTGTAGTTGTCCGGTAGGAGATGGGGAAAACGACGACGTATGAAGTTGTAGAGATAAAGAGCTTCTTGCGGGGAGGAGCTGTGAGAGTAGGCTTTGAAGATGAAGTTGCAGGCGAAGACATTTGGGTTTTGAATCTGAGAGAAAAGGGCGCGAGAAAAGCCGAGACCGTGAGGGAGAGAGCGAAGGAGGAGCTTGCTTGAGACGAACGAGTCGTGGGCTAAGACACCTGAAGTAATGGCGTGGGACAAAAGCTCGTAAAACTGCCTGCCCTTGAGCTCTCCGTTGCACTTTTCTAACAGAGCAGGCCATTTTGATTTTATTGTGAGCTGTCGAATTAACATTTTGCCATTGAAGGCTCGTTCTTGATGTACTTATAAATTATAAATTATACTGAGCTTACCACAAAAAAAAAATTATAATGTTACATAATCACTCATTTTATTTAAATATAGATAATATTGAGAGATGAGGACATAGAAGGGTTATTCGCAGCAATGGTCCCTCAGTTATACCCCAAGTTACACTTTGGTCACTCAACTTAAATATTAGTTGCAGATGTCACTCAATTAGGTGTTTTGTTGCACCGTTAGTCCTACCATCAAGTCTGTTACTTTTTCTGTTTAAAATGATGATGTGGCAAGCATCTCTTAGATTATTGATGGGCAAATGTGACTTTTCAGTTAAGTAATGATCCCTCAACTATACTCGGAGTTACATTTTGGTCATTCAATTAGGTGTTGTGTTGCACCATTAATCCCTACCGTTAGAGAGACTTGACGGTAGGACTAACGATGCAATAAAACACCTAATTGAGTGACCTTTGCAACTAATATTTGAGTTGAGTGACCAAAGTGTAACTTGGGGTATAGTTGAGGGACCATTGCTACGAATAATCCGAACATAGAATATAGGACCTTGAGTGTAAGAATAAATGTCACTTTTAATACTAAATGCTAAACCATACATAAACTATGATAAACTCCCTAGTGGGCAAATTTTTATGGAAACATCATCAATGCCAAGAGCCCTGATATATGTTCATAATAAAATTAGTCCACCTTTAAGGAAAATTGTATGATGTACGTAATTATCTAATAAGTTCTTTATTTGGTAAATACCACGACGTGTCTCCACATCCAAAGGGTTGGATTAATCTCCGCTCGGATTCGGCTTGCTCCTGTTCAACCACACCTGCGTCTAAATTTGAAATGAGATAGAACTCCGGGTGATGCACTCTCAGAGCTCATTGTTGATTGTGCAACCACAGACAGACACCATATAGCAAGCAAATTAAACATCGACGAATCCCATATACAATTCCACACAAAGGTGAATGATCACTCAACAATTATTTACTGTCATACATTACAAGAAGGGAAATCTTCTTTTCTTTTATGATCTCATTTCAGGGAGTTTTCAACATCGATTACAAACTGGAATTTCACAATTTTTTTTTTAACCTACCCTCTGGAGAGCTTCAGTTGCATATTGAATCCATGAGCAGCATAGAAATCTATCATTTCTTGCGTATCCTTCATTCCACCTGTCACGCTGCCCGAAACGGTTTTCATACTTGCCGTGTAAATGCATATGTTCATTATTCTTCATATTCTCTCCACTGCAGCCTCTCTAAACATTTATATCGTGAATAAACTCCAAAAACTCAAGGAAGAATTTCCTCATGTCTTCATCTAGTTGTTCGATCTTGATCGGAGAGTAATAGTGTTGATTCAAGTTGCGAATAAACCATCATAGCGTGAATACAATCCAAAAACTCTAGGAAGAACTCCCTCACGTCCTCATCCATTGATTTAGTCGTGGTTGTAGAGCGGTAGTGTTGCTTTAATTTGCAAATAAACCTCAACAAATCAATAGTAGTACCTCCACTATAGTTAGAATTTTTGTAAGCATAAATGCACCTCATATAATACTTCCACTTCTTCATTTTGCTATTTTCATTCCAATTCAATAACCTATCAAAATGGGAAGACTCAACATCAACTTTTTCGAACGAACAGTACGTCGATGTATGCAATTGTGAAGATCTTCAACATACGTCATCATATCCACAACATCCATAAAAAACGGATGGCCTTTAATTCTGTCCATATAATCATCATACCTAAAACAAAACAAACAAAAAAAATGTCAAAAACAGATATTAATGCAGTTATAACATAAAACAAACTTACAACAAATGCACAAGACTGACAAAACTTTAGATGAAACTTACGACAAATGCGCTACACTAACAAAACAATAGATGAACCTTCCTTCTCTGCCCAGCAACCAATGGAATTGGGATGACTGTGCCTCTGCAATTCAAAAAACAAAGAATCCAACATTGTTTGCAAATTACGAAAGTCCTTAACCTTGTTCCTCATAAGGATCAAGGATGGGAGATGCTGATGAGGTTGGGAGAAGCACAACCTATCAAATTTGTTTTGGTTGGGAGATGCTACTTATTTAAAAGCAGAGAATGTGTATTTGTTGTCTTTTTGGTTTTGTCATGATCGGTATCTCGTCCCTTGATATTTGTGCAGTGTGACAAGGTGGGTTCCTTGCGAGAAGAGTGGGCTGCTGTCTGCTATCCGAATTTTGAATCCACGTTGGAAGAGTGACTGAGTGTATGTTTTGGCAGGGGTGAATGTTCCTCAGACATGCCAGTAAGGCGACAAACAACCCTTACTAGCAATTAACCTTATTTTCTGAGGAACATTCACCCTGCCAAAACATACATCACTCAGCCACTCTTCTAATGTGGTTTCAAAATTCGGATAGCAGACAACAGCCCACTCTTCACGCAAGGAACCCACCTTGTCATACCTCACAAACATCAAGGGACGAGATACCGATCATGACAAAATCAAAAAGACGACAAATACACATTCTCTGCTTTTAAATAAGCAGCATCTCCCGACCACAACAAATTTGACAGGTTGTGCTTCTCCCAACCTCAGCAGCATCTCCCATCCCTGATCCTTATGAGGAACAAGGTTAAGGACTTTCAGAGCTCATTGTTGACTGTGCAACCATAGACAGACACAATATAGCAAGTAAATCAAACATCGGTGAATCCTAGATACAATTCCACACAATGGGGAATGATCACCCAACAATTATTGACTGTCGGTAGATGCTTTGAATTCCAATACCAACAGTTCCCTATGAAGTTATTAATATGTACATTACAAGAAGCGAAATCTTCTTTTCTATTATGGTCTCATTTCGGGGAGTTTTCAACAACAATTACAAACTAGAATTTCACATCTTTTTTTTACTAACCTCTGGAGAGCTTCAATTGCATATTGAATCCACGAGCAGCATAGAAATCTATCATTTCTTGCGTATCCTTTGTTCCACCTGTCACGCTGCCAGAAACAGTTTTCATATTTGCCGTGTAAATGCACATGTTCATTATTCTTCATATTCTCTCCACTGCAGCCACTCCAAACCCCTGAACCACATACATCTTCAAGTATACTTTCCATAGCAGCCTCTCTAAACATTTATATCGTGAATAAACTCCAAAAACTCAGGGAAGAATTTCCTCATGTCTTCATCTAGTTGTTCAATCTTGATCGGAGAGCAATAGTGTTGAATCAAGCTGCGAATAAACCATCATAGCGTGAATACAATCCAAAAACTCTGGGAAGAACTCCCTCACATCTTCATCCAGTGATTTAATCGTGGTTGGAGAGCAGTAGTGTTGCTTTAAGTTGCAAATAAACCTCAACAAATTAATAGCAGTACCTCTACTATAGTTAGAATTTTTGTAAGCATAAATGCACCTCATATAATACTTCTACTTTTTTATTTTGCTATTTTCATTCCAATTCAACAACCTATCAAAATTAGGAGAACTCAACACCAACTTTTTCGAACGAACAGTACGTCGATGTATGCAATTGTGAAGATCTTCAACATACGTCATCATATGCACAACATCCATAAAAAACGGATGGCCTTTAATTCTGTCCACATAATCATCATACCTAAAACAAAAGAAGCAAAAAAAAAAAGTCAAAAACAGATATTAATGTAGTTATAACACAAAACAAACTTACAACAAATGCACAGGACTGACAAAACTTTAAATGAAACTTACGACAAATGCGCTACACTGACAAAATAATAGATGAACCTTCGTTCTCTGCCCAGCAAGCAATGGAATTGGGATGATTGTGTCTCTACAATTAAAAAAACAAAGAATCCAACATTGTTTGCAAATCACGAAAGTCCTTAACCTTGTTCCTCAGAAGGATCAGGGATAAGAGATGCTTCTGAGGTTGGGAGAAGCACAACTTGTCAAATTTGTTTTGGTTGGGAGATGCTGCTTATTTAAAAGCAGAGAATGTGTATTTGTTGTCTTTTTGGTTTTGTCATGATCGATATCTCGTCCCTTGATGTTTGTGCAGTGTGACAAGGTGGGTTCCTTACGGGAAGGGTGGGCTGATGTCTGCTATCCGAATTTTGAATCCAAGTTGGAAGAGTGGCTGAATGGTGTTTGTTCTGGCAGGGTGAATGTTCCTTAGACACGTCAGTAAGGCGACAAACAACCCTTACTTGCAATTAACCTTATTTTCTGAGGAACATTCACCCTGCCAGAACATACACTACTCAGTCACTCTTCCAACGTGGATTCAAAATTCGGATAGCAGACAGTAGCCCACCCTTCTAGCAAGGAGCCCACCTTTTCACGCCGCACAAATATCAAAGGATGATATATCCGATCATGACAAAACAACAAAGACGCCAAATACACATTCTCTGCTTTTAAATAAGTTGCATCACCCATCCCAACCAAAACAAATTTGGCGGGTCGTAGTTCTCCTCTGAACTTCAACATAACCATGCCATTACAGTATGTGTCCACAGAAGTACCAGGGAAAGAATACCTATTCTGCTAAGCACCCATAACTAGATCCTTAGCTTGTATCTCAAAATGGCCCAGAAAATATCCCCTCTCTTGTATTGTGTTCTCAAATACATGTTGCTACTGTAGGGGTCTTTTCTTCCAGCAGCCAGACGAATGGGCTTGGGCTGCTGTAAAGGATGAACAGATGTGTGAAATTGCCCCTTGTGTCTAAGTTCAAGAATTAGGCCCCGAGAATGCTTCGAAAGGGTAGTAGAACCTTAGGAAACACCCTAGTTATCTTCACCAACATAAATAACGATGGCTTGCAGGTAGATTCTTAGCTTAGCATGAGAAACTTGTGGCGTGGGAGCAAAACCATCATGAGTTTAGCATAACAGAGATAGGGCTGTGAATTCCTATGAGAAACAGAGGTTCTAAGGAAAGGGAAGTGATTCTAAGAAGGTTGGCTAAGGGGGGGAGAGATGG